ACCAATTGTAGGTATGGTGGTGACGATCTCCCCCAGCTTCAGCTTGTAGAGGATTGTGGTTTTCCCTGCAGCATCCAAACCCACCATCAGAATCCTCATCTCCTTTTTGCCTATCAGGCTCTTCAGCAGGTTCCCAAAAATGTTTCCCATGATGACAGGTGGCTCTCACCGCAACTGCGAAAAGAACTGTACGTCATGCAACTGCCCAGAAAACAACCTATACACACCACAAACTTCAAACTACCCCAGAGGGCGGCCTGTAAAAAAAACACACTCTCTTTTCTGTTTGATGGCCGCTGACCTGCCTGTGTGTCTACTACTGCTTTTACACACAGAGAGCTGACCGGGGAAACAGACTCTGTTCTGTGGATCAGCTTTCATGCAGTACAAGGGTCTTTCGGCTGTTGGCAGACGACTGAAGACATGGCACAAACTCCCAACACAATGTAGGACACACAACCAGGCAGTGTGGGTGAAACACGTAACGTGAACGGGTTCGAATAGAAAGGCTTCATATTGCATGTTCTGTGGCCCGTTGAAAGGCCAACTCTGCCTTTAACTTATGCTGACACATTCTATTTGAGGTGAAATTGGGAATCCCGAGATGATTTCAGTTCCCTATAAAAATTAATTGGTCTTTTATGATTGGGTTGACAGCGCTGTTTTTCGATCCAGATTTTTTTTTTCATTTTTAACCATAATTTACAATTTCAGGGGTGGTAACTGGTGCTGTTTTTGGATCTCTGTTCATTTGGATGACCCGCCTAGCATAGCCTGCTCCAGCTGCAGCGGCCGGACGGACATCTGTCATCAACCGAGTGATGCTGCACTCCAAAGCAGCTCACGTCTCCGACTCGTACAGGGTTCTTTCGAGCCGGGTATGTGGTGATTATGCTGGTTTTTGCGTTAGCTGAGCCTTACGGTGTTGAAAAGAAAAAACCTCCGGGACAATTTGTTTCCTATAACCCCAGCGTACAGTCACGACAAACGCAACCAGTCGGCCTTATTCCGTCGATAAACGCGCGTTAATAAGACAGGACTTGCTTGAAGAGGCCAAAATAGCGACGAAATACGCCGTAGTCGCCTTTAACACCTGACTACATCAATGAGAATTGTCACCATTTGGGTCTCATTCACACTTACCCGTCAACGGCAGGCAGGATACCAGCTGGATTCAGCAGGCGAAGGACTGGATGATATTCTCGCGATGACTTGAGACTTGGATCTATCAGCTTCTCGCGGTACCTGGGATGCCATGAACGCTTTAACGTTTGACATCCCAATGACTTCTCAGAAACCAACTGTAGTCTTGGAGGGCAAGTCAAATCCAACAGGGAGTTGAATGTTAAGTTACAATTATTCAGTGTTTTGGTTTATCTCTCTTTTTGTTTTCAATGAAGACAGGGTAATGAGGTGATAATTTGTGGGTTTTTCTCTTTGAAACTGATTTACGTGGATACATTATAAATATCGCCTATGTAAATATGAACTTATTTCCATTCATTACTACAGTTTGAACGCTTGTTCAAGTTTAATATCTCTAGATCTTTGCATATGGAAATTGAAGCCATTTTGAGAATGCCACACTTTTTTTTCTTAGCTGCAATAAAGCAACGGAAATCTTCTGCCGATTCCTTACATTCAGACATTAATGTATCCAGCGTCCATATTTTGACGTACAACACAGCACATTATCAATGTTGATTTATAACCATAAACACTCGTCATTCAATCTTGGACATTTGTGTCTCACTGACAAATCCCCAAACTTGAAATTTTCCAAATGCTTGGAAAAAGAAGTATGTTCTAGTGTCTCTACTTCATTACATCATTTGGACACCATCCTATAAAAATTGTCTGCATTCCTTTTTTACCATTTCATTGGCCCAAACAACTAAACCAACATGAAGTGTAACAGTGTCTGCAGGCAAACATGCTTGAATAATTAACACAGGAATCATCCTAATGAATAAGTAAATGGCTGACTGTAACAGGATGCCAAGTGATACTCCCTTGTTGCAGCTACTTTTATGTCATGGATAATGAGGTGACACAAGGAAACCAAATATCAAGTGAATCAATATTTTGGGATGTTCAACAAGACAAAGGATTTTTGTGAAAGCTACGAACACAACAATGATTTGAAGTTTATTTACAGGCTGTACCTGTATTTTTCAGACATAACATTTCTGGAAGAAACCATTATACCCTAAAGAATATTTCCTTCTCCTTACCATCTTATAAAAATTAAAAAAACACAGCCCAGTGTGACTAAATGTAATGAAATCAGTCCTTCGGCCATAGGTGAATCCAACATTTGCCTCCCTCCTCTGCTGTGTTGCGTGTCAGTCAGCGGTCGAGTAATAGATGTGTTTATCAATTCAGTGGTGAAGGCAGAGGAATAAAGAGGGGAACAGATGTTAGCAGCTGCAGACCAGATTAAGGGGTGGAGTGGATGGTGGGGGAGCAGGCCGAGTTTGGAACTGAGAGAGGGTTACAGGGGGGTTACAGCGGGCTCGGGTGGTGGCAGCAGAGGTAGGGTGGGGAGTTATGACTTAAAGGAGTCTTTCCTCTGAAGTGTCTGCCAGCGTGCACCCCAGCAAACACAATCACAAGTCTCATTGGTTCTTCTAGCTGAACTAATGAGGGCCTGCACGTTGAGGGCAGGGGCTTTGATGTTCTGGGTAGCTGGCTCCTTGTTTTTTCTCTCCCGCTCTCCCTCTATGCCTGTCCCACATCAAAAAATGAAAGGGGAGTTGAGAAGCAGATGTTTTGAGGCATGTATTTATACAGAGTACACTTTATTCACCCCTTCTCCGTACCCTGTTTGTCCATAGCTTTTGCATCACTGGTGTATGAAGTGCAAGGACCTATCCCCCATTCTTTATATCCAGCTAAACACAGTAAATCGCCTTACTTTATACATATAATCATCCTGTCAGTCAAAGTGGGTAACTTTTATCTCTCCTGACTTCCTCTCTCTGCCTGCCTCTCTTTAATTTCAGCCTGGTCTGGATGTCATTACTCAAGGGGCAGCCTATGTGTTGCTATGCATGTGTCTCTCTGCAACGATGAGGGGAAGGAAAGAAAAGGAGCGAAAGCAGTCCCAGACTGTCCACCAACCTCTGTCTCACACATGGGAGAAACAGTGACAGGAAATTCCCTTATGCAGCAGCTCCAGGGTGAAATGATAAAGGAATGAAGAAATGCAAACCAGAAATCCAGGCCCTTATCATTCCATACCACTCGCATTCTCCTTTTTACTCGACCAAATTCCAAAAAGAACAGTCAACTCGGCCACTGGCACCGTCATTCCTCAGGAGTCAAGGGATATTCACAAAAGTCCATACAAACAAGACTTAATTGGCATTAAATCCAATGTGGCAGAAGAGCTTCTCCCAGCAGGCTGAGCACAGAGACAGTTTGGATTATCTAAGATATCTAGGAATGCTGGTATCATAAATCAAGTCATGTGGTGACATTAGCATTTTGCTAAATCTACAGTTCATGTGTGCGCATCGGCGTGCGTGTTTTCGATTGTGCATTAGTATTTCAACATGCAAGTGTCTTTGTGCATAAACACAGACATGTCCTCATGGGTACGTGTTTATATTTTCTGTAGTCTGTCTCCTCGGTAACAGGCATACGGGGTCCCATCAGCACGTGGTTCAGCAAGTCCTGTCCTTGGCTATGAACTCTGGACAGATGATCCCCTCTGATGCTCACACAGCAAAGACTGGTATAATCACCCCCACTCTTTGCTCTCTTGATGCCGCTCTCCAGTAATAAAAGTCATACTTTAAGGAAACAATATCCTGCAGCCATAAAACGTCCTTCTCTCAGCATGAAGCGGCCATAAAAAAAAGAGCTCTCACCTCGAAAGTCTGCAGTGCATCGAGCTTAGCCCCGCATTTACACGCTAACAGACACACACACACACACACACACACTGGACTCAAACTTCAGCGCACCCTTTAGCAAGACCAAAGCAGATCTATCGCTCACTCTTGACATCCCCTACATGTGGGAAAAATCTAAGGAGTGCTCAGACAGATGAACATAATATAAAAACCTCATTATTTCAGAAGAAAGTGACTCATACCCCAAGGAGGTACATTTCTGTCATACCGATAGGAATTAATAAAAACAAACAAAACTTGACACTTTACTCGTAAAGTAATTGGTTTTGTTGGAACTTGTCAGTGTAAGGAAGAGAAGGACTTCATTTCTTCTTTCCTAAATTGATGTTTTATCAGCTAAAAAGCTTATAAAAGCCCATCCTGTGCTCTGTCTGACTGCTTCGGTGAGGGCGTATTCTCACTGTCTCCGTGATTAAAAGGCCTTGTCTAGAAAATCTCTGAGGCAGACAACTAGATATTATTGCTCTGTTATAGCCACGGGTACAAAATATACACTCCGAGTAAATATTTAGGAGTTGATTAGACAAGTCCACACCGCAATTATGAGGAACTTCGTTCTGTAAAAGCAGAAAGGGTCAGAATAGTCACGCTGACCTACTTGGCCACTCTACATCAGTCACTCACTAAAACCCAAAAGGCCGACTCTGATATGATAATAATATTAATAACAATACATTTACAAAAATATACACATTAACAACAAAAAAATACACAACTACTGTACATAAAACGAGTGAGAATGTAGACATTTGAACAGAAATGCTCCTCTGTCTTCATGGAACAGAGAAGATGGGGAATAGGCCATTTTCATGGCTGAAAGGGCAGCGTCTAAACACACCATGGCAAGACAAATGACATGAGTCACCTCTTCAGTCTCTGACTTGGCATTTTGAGAATAACAGCAGCTACAAAGAGAAAATAGATCCCAGATGACAAAAAAAAAAAAGGAAGGGGAGGGCGGGGGGTAAACAGATTCTCTGGGAGAGTTACACAAGGAGCAAAACAAAAGCTGGAACGGCGGGAGCGGGCGAAGGGACAGGCTCGCCATCTTGAGTCCTGGACGGGTAAAAGCAGTCGGGCCTACTTGCACACGTTGACCCACTCTGTGAGACGGCACTCCTCGCACAGGACGTAGCAGCACCAGTGAAAGCGGCAGTTGCAGCGCTCGCTGCGCGTGTGCTTCAGGATGTTGTGGCCGCGGCCGCAGCACAGCGAGCCGCAGCTGTCCGTGCTGTAGCTGGTCTTGTTGCAGATGCGCCCCTGGGTGCCCGGGGAATCGACGGACGCGTCGTGCTCGCAGAAGTCCGGGGACTTCTCGAAGAACACCAGCTCTCGGGACATGCTCCGCCGGCGCCCTCCGCCGAACCCCCCGGGGCTCCCGCCGGCGCTGTTCTCCGTCCGGGGGTTGAAAACCCCATTGTTCTTGTTCTGGGAGTTGACAAAAATGGCTGACAGGAACTTTTGCTTGAGCAGAGATCCCACGAGCCGGAACTCTGGAGACACGTGCCAGCAGGTCTTGAACTGACAGCTCCCCGACGTTCCGTGGCATTTGCACTTCCTTGTCATGTTGTCAGTCACTATCTGTTTAAAGAAAGACACAAAAAATGCCAGGAAATTAGATGGCAACGTTTGATCTCGTTATCACATACGGGATGCGACTTCCTGAAGGAGCAGGTGGAGAGCATCACTCACCTGTCGCCCCACGCGGTTGTTGTGTATCCTCATGCGGGCGTGGATGTCTCGTGGCGACCCTCGGGAATCTAGCCAGTCCCTGGAGAAGCGGTCGCCGAAACGCAGGTTGTGGCTGCAGCCCCCCCACTCCCAGGTGTCTTGCATGGAGCTCAGCTGGTCGGAGGCGGGCTTGAGCGAGGCGGGCGGGTGGCCGGAGCGCAGGCCGGCGGGCAGGTGGCCGGCGTGGTGGGCGCTCAGCTCCGGGGGCAGCGGCCGGGCCACGTCCAGGCCCGCCCCTCCCTTCTGCAGGGCCTGCAGCTGCAGCTGGCTGAGCTTCAGCCGGATCTTGTCATCGTCCTGGCGGCGCTTGGCCTCGCAGCCGCACCCCCGCAGCTTGCCCATGCTGCAGGCCGAGGCCACAGAGTGGGCCACGCCCGCCGCCAGCAGGGCCAGGGAGAAGGCGCTCTCTCGGAAACCTGGGGAGGGGACGGGCGACACGGGAGAGCTGGCAGTGAGGCGGAGCGAGGCCCTGTTCACCTTTGTGTGTAGCGGCCCCCGCTATCAAACCCCCCCCCACGGTCGTATTATGTCTGCCCCTGGCTTGCGAGAGACTCTCACCCCTGTTGAGCACGGTGCTGTGGTGGGGCAGTTTGCCAAATCCCTCCAGTGAGGAGCAGTTCCAGCGCTGGTCCCGGAGCTGGTGCTGGCATTCGTGGAGGGCCACCTGGATCCCCTGCAGGGCCGACGCCGTCACGTCGGGGTTGCGCACACACATCCGCATCTGACGCTTGCTGAGGCCTGCCAGCCTCAGGCACACTGAGTGAGGGGTTAGAACTGGATCTCCCGCCACCTTCAGGCTGAGGATATCATTGCACAGCACCCTACAGGAAAAAAAGAAGGTTGGTGCGGATGAGGGTGGGGGGGTGGGGGGGGTCATCATCAGAGCTGGTCAGGAGTTCATCACTCATATCCAGAGAATGTGGCAGTGGGAGGATGTTCGGAATACTTAGGAAATTCTACAAATCCAGTTAAAATTTTAAAGGGATATACAGCAAAAATCAATGTTTTTTGGGGGGGCCTTCGGAGTATCTTAGTAAACTTGAAATATGTATTAAACAAAGCAGCATTATTAGCAAATAGAGCTTTAGAGTTCCTTAGTGAACACATGAATCGGGAAATCTCTTACATTCAAACTTTAAAACAAACTTAACAGCTTTGAAAAATCAATAACAGATCTAACTGGCAAAAGGAAACAATGGTTGAAAATGGATTTCGTGATGACATAGTTTAGACTGCTCTAAAAATGTTTTAATAAAACTGTTTTGATATTAATAGTCAGCTTGTGAAATCAGAGACAGATGTCTCATTTTCAAATCATGTAATCCACTCTGCACTTAAATGATGAACCATACACAGCCACTTCCCTCAGCTCAAACCGAGTCCCATACCAGCACAACCGCGCGTAACATCCACTCCCCTGGAGCTCTCAAGTGCACTTACGTTAACGCAGGTGACATAAGAGCTGCTGCCAAAATCAAGAGTTTGTCCCAACGGAGTTTGTTGGATAGCTCCATTTTCTTAAGTATCTTTCGCGACGTGACATTAAAACACTGGTGATACGGTCCAGTATTGTGGGAGAATATCAAAAGGAAGAAGAGTAGAGTATTATCGATGCACCGCCAAACGACCGAGGAGTGAAGACGGAGAACAGAGGAGCTCGGGGGCGAGAATAAACTGGAGGAGGGGGGTGAGGGGGGGGGGGGGGGGGGGGGGGGGGGGGGGGGGAGTGACGGGAGGGGTGGAGTTGCCTCTACAGGCGGCTGTTTGCAAAATATTTGTCCCTATGAAAGTT